GGGTTCTACTAATGTAAACGTATCATCAACGAATCTTCGCCAAAGTCTTACACCATTTTTGTACAGATCATCATGCAGAGACTCTTCCAAGTGTATCATGAATATATCCGCAATGGTCCCTGCCAAAGGTCCTCCGATGCTCACACCGTCAATTTGTTCATATAAATTATTATTGTACACAAAATGTGTTTCGGAGGTCGCTAAACGCAAGAGGGTTCGAAAATCTTCTCTATCCTCACATTTTCTGCATTTCATCTTTTTTCTGCTGATTGAGCACAAATCACATTTCTCATATAACTTATCAACAATTAAGTCTATGGTATAGGCCAACGGTAATTTGGTAAACAGATTCTTAACATCGAAGGAAATCATTCTTAGATTTAATTGAGATCCAGAAAACGATTTCACTGTATTAGCAAATTCAAATGAATCTTTTACCATACTCGCACTAGACCGCAAATGTGCTAATCTTTTAGCTAACATTAAACCCAATCCATAATTAAACGTTTTAATTGATGACAGAATTGACCTAATCGGTCTATTTGGCTTATGAACTTTGGGTAAACCATATAATCGGGCAAAACGCGATCCTACTGGTCTCGCTAGTTTGTACTCTTTATCACTGATAAAGCCACGTTCATGCAGTTTCAATAAAAACCGCACTAATTTATCTTCTTTATTCATAGTTGGATCATCTGTAATTTGTTTGAATGTCGCAGTATCATTTACAATAGCATTCATTTTCTCAATATACTCACTTTTATCAAGAATAACGATGCCTTTACCCTTATCTCGGCATTAAATTTATTTTCCTAATATCAATGAAACCAGATTTAAAAATAATATCATATGCAACGTAATGTGTTTCATTACACATATCAACCGACGTAATAGCTTGAGGGTACTTTCCCCCCTTTCGGTACATGAAAATCAAAATGTTTTCAAATTCGACGGTTTTCATTGATACATATACTCTGAAGTGCTTACTTTCAGAATCTGTATCTTTTTCCGTTGTAGAAGTGGTTTTTCGCGGTTCTTGAGCAAGTTTTCTAAGAGCACTGAAAAGCACGATCTTTATATAATAATTTTTTCCTAGATACATATGCAAGTAAATTTTTTCTGAACGCGTAGACGTGTAGAGCAAACTTCTCTGAAGAAAATGTGACGTTCTGTTTATATGCGAAAATTTATCCCATTCTTTGGAACAGAAGTGTACTGTCATTGGGAATTACTCTCACATGGACTGAGCACTAATGTTCCGTCTTGGGGAAGCGAATAGGCTCGGTGACTCCAGATGCCGATTGGAGTCAAGTGGAATCCCGAAGTCAAGTGTTTCCACCTGGCACTAAGGTCAGAGAGGATGAATAGTCATTAGTTTCCTTTTTCATGCTTTATCCCATTAAGATCGTTTTACGAACCAAAACAGTCCTAATTATATAAGCAAGGGTACTCGCTATCATTACCACCAATATTCAAACATCTTCTCTTATTCAATTTATCATTACCAGAAAAGGTCGTCCTTCTAATGACACTAGACGGTTATTCGTACATTGAAGATCTTCAAACCGACGAAAACACTTACTGATGTTGCGAAAACCACAAAACTTTTAATTATCATTCTCATATACATACATGTAATTCTATCAATAGTTGGATACACGTGGCCATATAACAAGTTGCAATCGTGATCCAGTCAAAATATTCCCAAGAAGTTTCATGAGTATGTGATCAATCATGCAAATAATACACATGAATCTATAGACACACATCAAAATTATCTGATTCAGCATGCGTGCGTTTATCACCATTAGACCATAGAAAACGAACAAATAAAAAAAAAGGATTTAGAGAGATACAAAATAATGTTGATTTTCCGTGTATTCGTATATCACAGCCAACAAAACGAAATGAGTTTTCTGATATACTGATACAGGTATGCAATATACGTATTACATATATATTTATATATACATAAGGGCAATAAAAGTTTTATGATTTGCAGATGCACTTCAGCAATATACGTATCATACGTATATCTGAGATAATGGTAATAAATTTTTTATGACCATTTTGCTTGCTTATTCTATATACCTAAATATTACAATTTATAATTTTGAATATAAAATAAAAGTTTGTGGTTGGTTCTTTGCTTACTAACTATCTTTCGAAGTATAAATAAGGATTTCTTATGCGTGCGCAACCTGCCCGCAAGCAGAATTCGCTAAGCACAACTTTCGTGGTGTGCTCACCCTCAAAATTAAATCACTTTTTGCTCCTAGACTTCAGCAAATAACATCATGGGAATGCACATCTAAGATCCTAAGTAGCATAGTTCATCGGCTCAGCTTATTGCACACCGCGGTGTGCAATATTATATAATTAGCGGTGCACCGCTAATGGGACTCACTATGAAGCTTTTTATGGCCTTTCTACTGCTTTGAGAGGGAAAATCTTTTCGATGTCGAACGGTATTAAAGGTGTCTGTCTCTTTTTTGACAATTCCTCGTTCTTAACAAGGATACCATCGGTCAAACTGATATTTGTGAATTTACCAAAGACCATCTGTTTAGCAGCACTTCGAATTTTTTTTGCGGGCTACATAAAAGTTTTGCACAAGTTTCAGAGTATCCAAATCAAATATAATGATCGACAAGCCAACCTCGAAAACCTTTGATTGACTGAAATTGTGAAATTCCACCCAGTCTCTGTCGATTGTCTGTTGATGATTTAGTTTGATCTTTCTTTATCTTTAGATTTGACTTTTGACTTAGCGACAAGCGAACGCATTTTAATTTTTTTCGTATAATCCTCCTTCATTCGAGAGAATAGATACTAAGCAATGACAACAACTTATAAGGAATAAGAACAATAGAAGTATTTCATCCACTGGAGCGTTTGATAAAACGTTTTTAGATCACAATCGATGATATTTACCTAGGACAATGGGGACAAAAGTAAAATTGGACTGTTGGACTGTTATCAGTCAATCAAATAAGATGATATTCACAGTCATTCTGTAAATAAACTCGCATGAGAATACAAGTTTGTTTATTTTGTAATGAATTAAAATATCCAGATGATCATAGCGATTGTTTAACTACGTGTGCTATAGTGCGTACGATCTTTTCGTAACTATTTTGTCTTTTTCAATTATTACAGATGGGTTCATGGTAACGGGAAGCGTTAAATTTTTCCAGCACTTGTTTTTTTCCAAATCCGTTGTAATAGAAAAATACGAAATTCTAGTTGATATTTCAGAGTTGTTAGAATACACAAAAAATGTGTAAGATAAAATGTACTGCATGAATATATTGCTATAGTGTAAGTGTAAGTTAAAAGTGGGCTGATCCTGACACTCGAGACGTATTTAGGCATCCAACGTCAGTATGTTTTTCTACTTGCCGTAGCTTTGTGCCTTTCAGCTTTTCGTCTCTTTCGTAGTTTTCATCGCTTGCATATTTTTCAACTTTTTTGTACTTTTCAGCCATTTTATTACTTTTCATCTCTTTCATACTTTTCATGTCTTTCAACTTTTCATTCGTTTCAATCTTTACTGTTTTTCATATTTTTGGTGGCTTTCATACTTTTCATGCCTTTCATACTTTCCAAATACCTTTGTTAGCCGTCATGATTTTCATCACTTTCATACATTTTAACCCTTTCACAGTTGTCTACTTTTCACCTCGTTTTGCGTTCGCTGTCTTTTCAATTTTGGGAGCTGTTCTGCTTTCCACTACTATTGGGATTTTACCTGTTGCAAGCTTTTTACTTTTCTTGTATTTCAAGGCTTTTATGATGTCCATCTCCGGAACACTGCATGTTTTTATTTTTTTCATCGAAGTACAAATGACCAGCGCTGAGGTTTTAACAATAAAAATCATGCGAAGTGTAAGAAGAATGTGCGAAGGTAGGACAAGAATGAGTCTAATAAGCAGTGCTTTGATGGTTTAGCGATGAAGTTGTTTATTGTCTTCTTGGTTTTTTTTTTGCAATTCTTTCTGCACTCAATTGTTGGTTTGTTTCAACGCGGCTGAATAATCGTGAAAACTGTGAAAGGGTTAAAATGTATGAAAGCGATGAAAAGCATGACAGCTAACAAAGGTATTTGAAAAGTATGAAAGACATGAAAAGTATGAAAGCGATAAAAACCATCAAAGCCATGAAAACTATGAAACGTATGAAAAGGAGAAGAGCGTGAAAGGTAGAAAACTATGAAAAGTATGAAAGCGATGAAAAGCATGAAAGCCATGAAAACTACGAAAAGTATGAAAAGCATGAAACGGATGAAAAGTAGAAAAAAGACTGCTGCCACATCTTCGTAGAGAAAAGTACTTTACACATTTTTTGTGTATTCTAACAGCCCTCTCCGAATATATGTCTGAAGAATCGCAAGTGTCTTCGATAAATATTCGAATTGTATTAACTCTTTGTCCGTTACAATCAAAGGGGAAACAGTTGATTGAAATCAGCTCAAAATCAAGTGATTTTCAGTGATCCTCTATGATGCCCTGAGATTTCCAATGGCTTCCAGTCATTTCCGTTGACTTTTCATTTGGTGCAAATCGATGAACGCCTGATTATATCTTAACTCAAAACTCAAAAATTTGTCAGACGACGAAGGGAATGTATTTATAAGTTAGCCATGATGCGTTTTTTCAAGCTTTTACATTCAACAAAACTTTTCTATGAGACGGTGCAGTCCTCTTTTTTCTGGAGAACTCCTAAGGACTGGAATCCTCTATCAATGGAGCATATAGTCTCAAAACCGTCTCTCTCCGCTTTTAGACACGATCATTCACATGGTTGGCGCCAAGTTTGACAAAAAAAAGAATTCTGGAGGTCAAGGAACGATAAGAGAAGAGCGCTGGGAAGACTGGACTGCGCGAGGGAGTGCCGAAGAATATTGCAAAAACTGGAGAACTTCCTATAACAAGTATTCAAGTGACGAAGTTGTTCAGAGAGCAAGACAGTATGTAGGTCAGGACTTTTACTACGACTTGTTGACCTGTAATTGCGAACATTGGGTCAGTTATTGGACGAGAAATAAAGCTTACAGCGGGCAATCAACGAAATGGAGCCGTCCACCGTGTCCAATCTAAAAACATCTTGCGGCAAACAGTCTAATTTTACTTTTGTCATTGTCCGTTACATAGTACAATTAGACTATTGAATCGACTACCCATTATGTAGCAAGTGTTTTATGTATGTTCAATTCATCTTAGATAGTGATAGATTTTTATGAATTTTTTATGGCTTTTTTGTGATTTTCAAATAAAAATTGTGTTTTATTGTTTTTCCCACTTCATGATTGGTATCACATTACATGTTAAAAGATAATCTTTCTGATTGCCTTTTCGTAATCGATTACATCTATCTTTAAAAAGTCTTCCTCTTCTTTGTCATAAATAAAATATAATAGATGGCTATCATAAAGTGAGAAAAACTCAAACATACCAATTGTGGAAGTAAAAAAGAAAAAGAAGGACTGTATATAAGGAGATGATTACCATTTAGTGTTTCATTCTTTTTCAAAACAAAAAACGATATACTAATACGCAGTCGAAGGTAAGGAAACTATTTGATAGGAGTCAGTAGTTAAAGTAAGTAAAAAAAATTAGGACAAGCGATTGAGATAATAATAAGCATTGGCGATTAATGGAAATCTGACTGAGAGATGAGTTATCTAGTTGTTGGAGAAATGGGAGTGAGGATAAATGAATTGAAAAACAGACCTACCAGCC